CCCTCCCTCCCTCCCCCACTCCCACCTAAGAGTGACCCTCTCTATTCGCTTCTCCCCTCTTCTTTACCAGTCAAAAGATGCTCATCATTCAAACACACACCGACTGAGGCAGGACCAGAGCACAGTGAGCAGGGTGTCTACACATCGCACATGGCTGCATAGACCACAGCAAACCCCCCCCCCCATTCCCAGTGTCATTACTATCCTATACTTTCTGTAAAAGTCTGGGTCAATGTTAACCATTGAAATTGCTTTGTGGGAGTTGAAGTGCGAGCATGAACAGGAGTTGAGGAGTCAGATTACGTTTTAGAATTAAAAGTGGCTGGAATCATTTGAAGTAGCATTTCTAACTTGTAGGATGTTGAGTTGTCTTTTTTTGTAAATACTGAATGCAGTTGATTAATGTTGAAGAGTATGGGCCGCTAAAGGTAGTTAAATGTCAGCTGAAATCTCCGTCAATAGCAAGTGAATTGTCAGGTTCGAGTAAGCACTGAAAGCAGTTGAATTGTCATTTAAAGAACAAGTTTTAAATGTTACATTTTGTCTTTGAGTTTTAAAAAAATATTTAACTACATTTATAAAAAAGTGCACATCTACAGTATTGTTGGATTGTGCACGTATACCTCATTGTCAGTAGTGAGGGATGCTACCAATACGGAATGATGAGACAGTGTACACAATGAGATGCTTGTTATCGTATATGTCTAATCTGATTCAAACAGTGATCTGTCAACCCAAGTCAAAGCCTCAGCTGGTGGTGTGATATACAGTATTATCCACATGCTCTGTATGCATCCCAAGGATCTATTTATAAAGCATGATTACCTTTAAAACCACACATTGTAGATGGTAGTAATGATGTGTTGTAAACATGGGGGTCAGGTGTTTTTAACCTTAAATCTCCTCTAGACTGCTGCGCAGGATTTCTCTTTTAACCCCAGTGGATAAATATGAATCATACCCTGACCTGCTCTCACCCGACACCTCGGTCGCAGTAATGAGCATTTAGCCGGTTCACTCCCTGTTGCTCAACCTGTCAGCCACTTTAACAAACCACTTGCTTGCCGTGGTAGCTTGTACCTCAGCAGCAAGGCCAGCGGTCTCATCGCTCAACTACAAAAGTGCCTGTGTACAATATCTCCTCTCATTAAGTCAGCTAGAATGTGTCCCCCAGGCAGGAGTCACGCGTAATGTGAAGCCGTCTCATTAGCGCTGTCACGTCACTTTCATTTAGGAGCTATCCGACAGCATTACGCGCCTCTTTGAGCGTCCTGGCCCTCCCGGCCTAGTTCAGCATGTCCAATGACTTATTCCTGCTTAGCGCTTCACATTTCCTTAACTTTCACTCATTACGGATGTATTATAAAAACATATTCCCTGCAGAGTTTAGCCAATTTAATCTTTTGTTGAACGTGTGAGGTAGAGTTGTAATCTAATAAACCTCATTAGCTGAAAATAAGGCTTGATCGAGAGGCCTGCTAACCGCCCTGCTTTGGCCCTGAAAGAAATTACTAATCAATGCCCAGAATATAACTAATTGGCAAAATAGCTTGCGCAGACATTGCTAGGAAAAATGATGGATACATGTCTCTAGCTTTGTTCCTTTTAACTCAAAACTGAAATTATATACACTGCTGAAAATGCGTCACTGTTGTCAATTCATTTACAATTGCCGTTTTGCTAAAGAGATTTACTGGAATAGAATACAACTGTATCAAATGAGTTCCAACTGCCTTTAGAACGTGTAAAACAAATTAAGACAATATTACTTTTGAGCTAAAGAGATTAGAAGACCCTCATAAGGAAAAACAACCCCCAGGCATGAATGGTAATATGAGTGTCTGCAGCAGTGTTTGGTTCTATTCATTCTGACATTTAACTGCTCATTTAGACAGGCGCTAGTGTTTTTACTTCAAACACAACCACTTCAGGGAAACTGCTGTTTGCTCAGACGTTTTGTCGAAAGGCACGCGCAGGAGAGAGATGAGAGGGAAAGTGGCCCTGAGTGTCGGGTTGGAGGTGTTCATCCAGATCAAAGAGGACATTTGAGATGAAACCTGGGTGGCGATTGAGGGCTGGTTATTGATTTGTCCTCGTGGTTGCCCGTCATTGAGAAAAACTAAAGGGGAAATCCCTGGAGGTGATCATTACTACTGAACACATGTCAGTTGGCCCATTAGGGAGTGTGGCTGCCACTCAACTAAATGGTGAAAAAAGCAACACAGGAGGGCATCCAAAAATCAATCACTGGCCAAGTAACTTCATATATCAGATAATCCAGAGGCTCTTTCAAAAGCACAGGGGCAACAAAAGGGATTATATATATTCGTTTAGTTATTTCTCAAATATGCTCAATATTCTATGACTTTGTAGCGCCTAGCTTTTCCCCCTACAGTAAACTTGCCTTAAAAGAATAATGTGCAAGTATGCCCACTAATCTTTATGGATATAAGCGCTTCAAACTGAATACATTCAGTTGTGTGCGCATCTTCAGTCTCTGTGACAATCATGTTTCTTTCAAAAGTATAAAACACCATGAGACCAGTTGCAATATTTGGAGTCTGTTGGACTCTTTCCAAACACATTATGTGCAGTTCAGTTAACTCTATTTTTGATTGACAACAAGCCAGGCAAACATTCATAGGGAACAGCAGGCTGTGTGTGATACTGCTGACTACACAGAGCCGCCGTTTAAGTCCTGCTCTCGCTCGCCAAGCTGGGCACTTTTTCAGCTACTTTTGTCCTTTTAGCTCCCCTTTCTTCCCTCCTCTCTTTCCCCCGCAATCCCTGTCGTCCTACCTCGTTTGATCCAACTTCCTATATTTTCTTCCTCCTTCAATTTGTTTCCAATCGTCCCCTCCATCCGTCCAAGGCTGAGACAAATTAAACGAGTCCCCCTGAAATGGTGGAGACATAAGCCTCTGGCAGTGCTCTATTAGCCCGGCTGCTTATTTGTTAACAGACTGGATTAATGTGCTGTACTTGGTATGGGAGGCCACCTGCTCAGGCAGCGAAGGGTATTCACAGGCTCACCGGACCACTCACTAATCTGCCTCCAAGGATGATTGCAGGTTTCTGTGGCATGATAAGGAAGCTAACCCCTTTTCCACATCAGTGGATGGTTAACTGCATCACTTGAGGAACTCTTGACCCCTGAGGTGCCTCGACTCGTCTGGTCTAGCTTGCTAATGGACAGATGTGTCAGCGGAGTCTCCGTCCTCATTGAGCGTTGAACACACCAAGCAACAAACCTCCAAAGGGGATAAGTACACGGTGGACTGCCTTTTTTGGAGTTCATTAATGCGTCAAGAAGAGGCCTTCAAGGGTCCACTTGGTTCCTTGTAACCAGAGACCCAATTCACTTTTAAATGATGTCATTTTTCCTCACCAGTGGATACATTGACTTGCTAGAGAAGGCTGATTCCGTATGGTCCAGTATGTAATGCATCTTCTCTTTCCTCTTATATTGATAGTCATGTATAAAAGTACACATTTTGCCTTTAAGCAACAAGTCGGTATCAGTGCACGCTCCTTCCACCTAAAATAATTGCTTTCCTGTTTGATCTACTACAGTAATATTTTAACTTTCGCTTTCAATTGATGGAGTTTCAATACTGTACAGTAGATCAGGCCTATTCAACTGGCGGCCCAGAACCAACTCCCGAGTGGCCCAGCCTCCCGTAGCCAAATTCCTACACTAGTACAGACCATGAACGCAACACTCCGCGTTGCATAGAAACCACCAAACCACAACGCAACACGTTTTTTGAAAGTGCATCTAGTGGTGCTAGTAACGGTGGTCCTATGATAGCAACTCTAAAACATGTCTCTCTCAACTCTGAAGCGTAAACAGAGACAAAACGGTCATTGATCTTGTGGAGCAGATCCAAGTCAAGATGGACCTTTTCGCGACCGACTTGAGCACGGGTCGGATGCTGCATTTTCCGACGCTCCCCAAACACATCACATCTCCGGCACAAATCACGGATGTGATGACAGATTTCATTGCGAGGTTGAAAGAGAACTTTGCCGGTCGATTGGATGGACTTGCTCTGCCCACAGAGGTGATGGGCTTTGCCAGAGACCCCTTCACTGTTGCAATAGAGGGGGACGTATCAACCAGAGCAAAGGAAGTGGTCCCCTGCATCGACAAGGGGAAATATACACTGGAACTTATTGACATGCAGCGCACTAACGGGCCAGCGGAGTTTTGGAGTGATGTCAAAAAACAGCAGTTCCCTAACGATCAGAAAGTAGCGATCTCTATGCTCAGTATGTTTGGATCAACATACACATGTGAATCAAGCTTTTCACACATGAACTCAATCAAAAGTAGCACTCGCTGCTCCCTGACTGACAGCACTCTTCACCAATG